TTGAATGGCTCCGGGTCATCAGCGTCGCCTGCTTGGCCCTGACAACCGCCCTGTGGCCCCACCTGGAGCTCTGACCTGGAGCTGCCATCCGACCACTGGTCCCCTCTCACGGTGACTCTGAGGACTTTGCTGTCGTCAAAGCCGCCCCAGAATCCTGAGCGTAATGAAAGGGCAGCTGTTCCCACTTGGGAGTTTGGGGCGGCTTGTCATTGTCGTTAAACTTGACACGTTTAAAATTAAAGAGTGGTCACCGAGACATGGGCAAGGCAGGCGAGGGGACGAGGCTTCCCACACTCCTGCGCAGTCAGGGAAGACCAGGACAGCCCGGCCACCAGGGCCTTGAAGGTGTTTGGATCGTGTCCTGGGTCCACGCTGCAGCCTGAGGGTCTTTTTGACCCTGGCTGAAAACTTTCCGTGGCTCCCTAGCGTCCCAGGGTACCTCTGAAGTTCCCGACCTTGAGGATTCCAGGCCTTTGGCAGTGGCTCCTTCTCTGGCTGGGCTCTCAGACTCCAGGTCAAGCCCTTTGGCTCTGCTCTCTGAGGAACTGGAAGGGCCTTGGGCTAATCATGTTGCTTTCTTGTTCGTTTGTTTTTAGTTGAAGATGGACACAATACTTTTATTTATTATACGAGGTGCTAAGAATCGAACCCGGTGCCTCACATGTGCAAGGCAAGTGCTCTGCCACTCAGCCCCAGCCCAGCCCTCGTGTTGCCCTTGGAGGCCTCAGTTTCCCCAGCTGTACAAGTGGGTGGTTGGACTAGAAGTCTCCAAGAGCAGCCCACCCTGGCACTCTCAGATCTGTGAAAAGGAGGGAGAAATGTGTTTGTGGGCAAACCTGCCCGTCTAGCTGCTTCTGAGTTGCCTAGCAATGGATCAACCCTCTCCCTCATCCTTGGGGGTTTCTTAGCAACCCAGTTTCTCACCCTCGGCTGCTTTCAGGATTTCCTTTTCACTAAATGTCAAGTTCTGCTCGTTCTGCTCCAGAAAATCTGAGGCCAAAGGCCTCTATGGAGGCCTGGCTACAAACCTAGCATGGAAAGAGGCCTGGGTTGGAGGACAGAGGAAGATTTGCCGATGACTTGAAAAACCTTTCTGGCTTTTATTTCAGACTGTTGTTACTTGTCACATGCTCCTTAGGCTTTCTCTCGTCTCTTGTATATGTTTGGTTTGGCTACTAATTTATTTACTCCTGCAGTAAAATTTTACTGAGCACCTACTATGTGCCCAATCTTAGGGATTGGGGATCCATCATTGAAAAAGACAGATGCAGTCCCTGCCTCATGGAGCTTATACTCTAGTGGATGGAAAGACAGTGAATAAACAGATAAATAAATACAATGGTGTCATGACAGAGGTGACAATGGTACAGTATGAAGAGCTGGTCATATCAGTCAGGATAGGCTAGGAAACCAGAGCTGTGTTGGGGAGAAGTCCTGGTTCTGCCTTTCTCCATCCCCTATGGTGCCTCTCATTGGCTGAGCTGAGCTGGAAGTCAGTGAGGGAAGATGGGCAGCCCTCCCCCCCATCAGCTCTGCAGAGCAGGGAAAGTGGAATCCACTGGAGGACAATAGGCCCAGGAGGGCCGCTGGCTCCTTGGGAGGGGCACAGCCTTTTCAATCCACTCCCTACCTACTGGGGACACCAGGATCATTTTTGAAAAATATTTTGATAATTTTTAAAAAATTTATTTTTTTAGTTGAAATTGGACACAATATGTTTTTATTTATTTATTTATTTATTTATTTTTAGGTGGTGCTGAGGATCAAACCCAGGGCCTCGCCCATGCTAGGCGAGTGCTCTACTGCTGAGCCACAACCCCAGCCCCAATTTCTTTGAAGTCGTGGTAAAATGGGTATAGCAAAAAATTCACCATCTAAACCATTTTTAATGTTTTGGTTAGTGCATTATAGTTAGACATCATTCATTTCTACATATTCATAGATGCATGCAATATGGGGTGCTCAGCTTCAATCCCCAGTACTTCCCCTTCCATCCCCTCCTTCCCCGTGTTAACCGTTTTTTATAATATTTATTTTTTAGTTGTAGTTGGACACAATATCTTTATTTTGTTTATTTATTTTTATGTAGTACTGAGGATGGAACCCAGGGTCTTGCACATGCTAGGCGAGCGCTCTACCGCTGAGCCACAACCCCAGCCCCATGTTAACCCTTTTTTAAATTTATCTATTTATTTATTTTTGGTACTGGAGATTGAACCCAGGGCCACTTTACCACTGAGCTTTTACACCTCCAGGCCTCTTTCTTTCCTTCCTCCCTTCTTTTTAAAATTTGCAATAGGGTCTCATTAAGTGGCTGAGAATCTCACTAAGATGCTGAGGCTGGCCTCAAACTTGGGATCCTCCTGCCTGAGCCTCCTGAGTTTCTAGAATTACAGGCACATGCCACCACACCCAGCTCACCTTAGCCATTTTCAAGTATATAGTTCAATAGCAAATACGTTCACATTATTGGGCAAGAAGTGGCACCATCCACCTCCTGAACTCTTTTTCATCTTGCAAATTGGAAACTCTGTACCCATTAGATGCTAACTCTCCTTTGCCCACCCATCCCGATCCCTGGCTTTCTGCTTTTTCCATGAATTCTGTATGAATTCTCTATGTCGCAGCATGGGTCAGAATTTCCTTCCTTTTTAAGGCTGAATAATACTCCAGTGTATGTACAGGCCAATTTTGTTTATCCTTCATGGATCCTTGGGTCGCTTCCATCTTCTGGCCACTATGAATAATGCTGCTGAGAACCCAGTTGTACAAATACCTTTTCAAGGTACATGGCTTTCAAATCTTTTGGGTATGTACTTGGAAATGGAACTGTTGCATCATGTGGTCATTTTATTTTCAGTTTTCCAGGGGATCACCGTTTCCAGAGCATCTGCACCATGTTACACTCTCACCGACGACTCACAGCCATTCTGGTCTCCACACCCCGCCAGTGCTTCTTTTCTTTTGATAGTAGTTAACCTATTGGATATGAAATGAATAGGATCATTATGAAGATCCAAATAATCACAGGCTTTTTAGCTCACGCTTGTGATTTTTTTTTTTGTCAGAACAGTTCTCTCCAAAACACGTTCCTCTGGAGCTGGTTTTGCACGCCTGTCATCCCGGCTACTCAGAGGCTGAGGCAGGGTTGCAGGTTCGAGGCCAGCCTGGCAACTTAGCAAAACCCTGACTCAAAATAAAAACAAAACAAAGCAAAAAGAGCCAAGGGCGTAACTCACCTGAACGAAGCCATGGGTTCAATCCCCAGTACCACCGAAAACAACAACCAACTTGGGTTCTTATCGTTTTCTTGTACTGAAGCCACACCCAGGCGCTGCTGAGTGTCTGTGGTAGCCTGTGTTGGATTCCCAGCAGCACCACACAAGCCACAGCCACAGTAATGATTTCTGTCCTTGTTTCTGAGAGGGCCTCACTACATTGGCCAGGCTTGTCTTGAATCTTGGGTTCCAGCGGTCCTCCTGCCTCAGCCTCCCCAGTAGCTGGGACTGCAGGTTAGCTGCCACACTAGTTATACTTGATCAATACATTGTCCTTAGGTCTGCTTTAATGCTTTGCTTTCATGCCCTAAACCTCTCTCTCTCAATCTAATGGCAGTAATCAAGAATAACAGGTGGCAAAGTCACACCTTTAATGGGATCTTGGCCCTGAATCATTTTATCCATGTGAGAAGTTTTACAGGGTATTTTTCGCTCAAAGCCTTTTTAAAATCCAATCTCTTACTTTAATTGATTTTAGCCCTGAGGTACTTTTTTCCCAGAGAGAGGAAATTTTAAAAATTGGTGTGAAGGTCACACCCTTAAATTTAATCTTTGCCCTGAAGCATTTTAATGAATTGATAGATTTTACTATGCTTAGCATGTTTTTTTTTTTCTTTTCCTTTTTATTTCTTTTTTTTTTTTTTTAGTCCCAGGGTACTTTACTATCAAGTCACATCCCCAGCCCTTTTAATTTTGAGATGGGGCATCACTAAGTGGCTGAGGCTGGCCTCAGTCTGCGATCCTCCTGCCTCAGCCT